CTCCCGTCTTGGATCTAAGATCCTTGATGGAAGATCTTGACCGGAGGATTTTTTTAACGACTAGAAAAATGAAAAAAGAAGTAGATCTAGGGTTTTGGCCTTTTTAGATCCAAGATCTACGGATTTTGGTTGGGTTTTTGGGGATTTGGTTGGTAGGACGAGGTTTAGGAGGATGAGAGGGGTGTATGGTGTGAATTTTGAGGGGTTTTGGAGTTCCGCCGCCGCCTTGGGCGATTTCCGGCGACGGAGTAGTGGTGGTGGGAGGGTTTCGGCCCTTTTTATTTTTATTTTAGAAGGGTTGGTTTTTTATGAATTTAGGTTGTGGGGCGAGGTAGAGGAGGAGATGAGGAGAAGAATGAAGTTATTTTGGGGGGGGGTTTGGAGGTTGGCCGCCGCCGATGGAGATTTCTGGCGGGCGACGCNTGGAGAGCTCTAGTTTTGGGGAGTTGAGAGAGAAGTGGAAGAGTGGGGAGTTTTGAAATGAGGGGGGTGTAGATTTTAGGACACTTTTATATTAAAAAAGGGGTGAGTTCCGGACCGTTGGATCTTGTTGGAGATCAATGGCCTAGATTAAAAGGGGAAAAGATGGATTGGGATCAGATTTTTAAGTTTTGGGCTTGGGGTGTCTTGGGTTAAATTAGGATTGGGTTAGTTTAGGAAGAAATGGCCAAATTCGGCCAAAAACCCATTTTTTTTTAATTTTTTAAAGACTAATTAATTAAAATAAATCCTAAACTAAATCCTAAATTATCTTTATTTGTAAAATTTTACTAATTATTTATTTATTATTATAAAAATTACTTGATCCTAAATTAAAAGAGAGAAAATCAATAATCTAAAAATTAAAAAGGTAAACAATGTAAAATGAGCCATTTTTTGATTTACAACTTTAATAAAACAAATAATTATCTAATTAATCCAAATGCTATAAAAACAAAAATCTAAACGCAAGGCATGGTATTTTTGATATTCATGATTTTTTAATAAAAATTAAACGTGTACAAAAATGCGAACAAATAATAAAAATCCTATAAAATGGCAAATAATTGGAAAAATATATTTTCTTGGATTTTATAGGAGTATTTCATACAAGGCAAAAATCACGTGCTCATAATGTGATGTCATATTCACTTAATTCTATAGCCCATTTGGCTAACCTACCTGACAACTCATGCTTGTGTAATATATTGCGTAATGGATAAGCAGTTACTACAGCAATAGGATGACATTGAAAATAAGGCCTTAATTTTTTAGATGCAATGATTAATGCAAGTGCAAGCTTTTCTAATTGAGGATACCGCGACTCCGCATCTAGTAAAGATTTGCTGACATAATAGATCGGGGATTGTTTACCTTGGTCTTCACGGACTAAAACATCACTTACCGCTACTTCTGAGACAACAAGGTAGATGAGCAGTCTTTCCCCAGTCTTTGGTTTTGCGACCAATGGCGGATTTTACAAGTATGTCTTTAAATTTTTGAGTGCCTGCTGACATTCCTCAGTCCACTTGAATTGATTTTGCTTTTTAAGAGCTGAAAAGAACTTAAAGCACTTTTCTGATGATTTAGAAATGAATCTCCCCAAGGCTGCAATTCTTCCTGTCAACCTCTACACTTCTTTTTTACTTGTAAGCATGTCAGGAATTTCTTCAATGGCCTTAATCTATGCGGGATTCACTTCAATTCCACGGTTAGAAACAAGAAAACCCAAAAACTTAGCTGATGCAACACCGAATGTAGATTTCTCCGGATTTAATTTCATATTGAATTTTCGCGGATCTGAGACGTATCAGACAAGTGTGATATATGATCCCCTAAATGTTGAGTTTTAACGAGCATATCGTCTATATAGACCTCTATAGTTTTTCCCAAATGTTCTTGAAACATCTTAGTCACTAGTCTTTGATATGTTGCACCAGCAATTTTAAGACCAAAGGGCATTACTTTATAACAGTAAGTCCCCCTGTCTGTTATAAATGAAGTTTTTTCTTCATCTGTAGGATCCATTTTGATCTGGTTGTATCCTGAATACGCATCTAAAAAGCTTAACAACTCATGCCCTGCAGTAGCATCAATTAGTTGATCTATATGTGGTAATGGAAAAGAATTTTTAGGACAAGCTTTGTTAAGGTCTATGTAATCTACACAAACACGTCACTTACTATTCTTCTTCGGTACCACAACAGTATTAGCTAACCAATTAGGATACTTTACCTCACGGATAGACCCAATCTTTAGTAATTTTTGAACCTCATCTTGAATCACCTGATTTTTGAAAGTTCCTTGCTTTCTCTTCTTTTGTTTGATAGGGGGATACGATGGGTCTTCATTTAATTTGTGAGTCGTTACCTCCG